GACTAGTATGATTGAGAAACTAAATTTAAAGTTTTATTAAATTTTAATTATTTTAAATGTAAATTCAAATAGCCACATGTAGTAGTGGTTATCATGTTGAACAATGCGGTTTTAACTGATTGCAGTTTTGTATATATAAAGGGTATTGATTTTTGTATATTAATTTTATACCCCATTTCCTTACTGAATTTTCTTGTTCATAGTTGTTTTCAGTTGATTAATTTGGTTTCTTTTGGAACACAAACATATCATTAACTAATAAAGATAATTTTACCTACTCCTTTCCAGTTTTGATTTTTCTTGTCTAATTGCATTGACTATGTTAAAAAGAAACAACAGACCCAAAATGGAGTCACTTGTGGTAAGCCCCACCAGGACTTAATACTTAACCTAACTGCAGTTTTAGCCTCTCCCAGGAGCAGAATTTTAAGCCAATCAGTCTGGAATTTCCTGACAACACTAGTGAGGTAATCTACCTGGTAAGACCCCTGCCTTTCCCTAAGGGAAGGTAACCTTGCCTGAAATAACTCACTTTTAACTTCCTTGTCCCACCTTCTTTCTGCCTATAAAACCCTTCTATTTTGTACAACTCCTTGGAGTGCCTTTCTATTTATTAAATAGGGTGCTGCCTGATTCATGAATCATTCAATAAAACCAATTAGGTCTTAAAATTTACTTGGTTGAATTTTTGTTCTTTAACAGCTAATACCTCCAATTAAAGGTTATGTCATCATAGTGGTGAAAGTGTGTATTCTTGTTCCTGACTTACTGGAATTTTTGTGCGTTTTCTTCTTTTTTTATATGAAAATGATACAAACAGGTGACAAATGAGTTGTTCTGTCCCCCAAGCTTGCTGCTCCTCCTCTGGTCCTCCCTGTATTACTAAGTTGAGGCACCAATTCTGAGTTCCAAGTTAGAAATCTAGGCATCACCCTCATTTCTCTCTTTCTCTCCTCCTCCCTCTTTGTTATCCAGGCCGACCAGCTGGCAAATCTGTCTTATTTCCACTTCCACTGCCACCACCCCAGTCTGGTACTTTTCCTTGCCTAGGAACATTGTAAGAGCAGCCTCTACTCCGTCATCCTGCTTCTACTTTCACTTCCTTCAATCCTTTCTCCACAAAGCAGATGATATGGTCGTTCTAAACTATTTGTTGATGTGAGAACATCCAAACGGTTTTTAATCAGAATTTATTTGAGCCAAAGTGACGACATCTGCCGGGAAGCCAGATCTCAAATGCTCTGAAGAATGAGTTTTGCAGTTCTTTTATACATTTGGAATTAAGGAGAGAACTAAAGCAGATTACATGACCTGGGAGAAAGTAACAGTGGAGATTACAGATAATTAAGGTTACGTGCTCCCTTGCGGGTGATTATGGCTTCCAGAGGTCTGAAAAAAAGAATTACTCTGGCATTTCAAAGATGTGTTAACCTCTTTCACAAGAACAATGGACAGGGCTTGCTAAAGGCAAAGTTTAATCTGGGCCCCCACCATGACTTGCTCAATCAGGAATTTTATGATCAGATCACCCTGTGAGGTTACGTTTAGTCAGGTTTATTTCCGAGCCCCTGTTTTCATCCACATCTTGACCTAGCATATGACTCTCCTACTTAAAACTTATCAATGGCTTCTCTCTGCTCTTAGGATAAAGATCAAAATGCTTAACATGGCCCACAAAGCCCTGCACCATCTCTCTTTGCCTTCGTTTTTTTAAAAAAAATGTAAATCACATTTCTATTTAAATCTTTTCAATGGCTTTTGGCTGTTCTCAAAATAAAATTCAAACTCTCATTGTGGGCCACAAGGCCCAAGATGATCTGGTTCCTGTATACCTCTCCAAATTCACCTCATACCACCTGCCCTCTTGTTCACTACACTCTGGCCACAGTTTTCTTTCAGTACTTGAAATGCACCAAGCTCTTTCCTATCTCCAGATCTTTGCACTAGCTGTCTCCTCTACCTGCAGTGCTTTCCTGGAAGCTCTTCAAATGTCCGCTAATCCTCCTCTTTTGTGATTCAAGACAAATGTCACTTTCTCTGAACATTTTGTCAATTTAAAATATTCTCCACACACGTTTCCTCTATTATCACCCTACTTCTTTCTTTCATGGTGTTTATTACAATCTGAAATTATCTTATTTATATGTCCCTTTATTTGTCATTGATCACCACTGAGAATGTAAGCTCTATTTTGTTCACCACTGTTATCCTCAGAGCCTAGCTGGTGCATGACACATAGTAGGCCCATTTGTTCGATAAATGGATAGTCAGTATCATTGAGCCAGTCAATGACACATCTGGAATTCCTTCTTTGAGATGTTCAAAGGTATTGCCCCTTTCTTCCAGCAGGTGGAGCCAAAGCCACATCTGGTCCTTAGCAGGGATTTGGTGGGGAATGGTGGGGAGCAGGACTGAGTCAAGATCAGGAGCAGGACTGAGTCAAGATCGGGAGGCAGGGTTTTTGTAGTAATGCTGGATCCAAGCATAGAGGGAAGTCAAGATGGCACTTCTCCCAAAGGATGAGATGTCCAGAAGAAACCTGGAATAGCCAATGATCCAAGGAATTTCTGGGATCCCAGACTACTTTCCCACTTCCCCCTCCTGTACCAACCCCAAACCATCCCCCCGATCAGCAAGGGGTCTTTGAAAAGGAAAGCAATTTTCCATGAGCATGAAACTAAAGGTGAGGATTTTCAATTCCAAATCTCCATTGTCCAGCTGGGGGAAACTGAGGCCAAGAGAGAAGCATCATAGTGGGTCAGTAGGAACTGAGTCTGGCACACAAAGCCCTCTGGTCATAGATCATGTTTATTCAGCTCCACAAGCCCAACCCCACCCACCATACCTGGCCACTCGGTGTGGGAGACCACAATGAAGGGGGCCTGGACGCTCAGTGCTGCCCCAAGGGGTAGAGAGGCAGGAACGGCTTTAGAGAGCCATGCTGGAGCCAAGACATATTGGACTGATGTTTGCCAGTGGAGTCAGAGGCCAGAGATGTATTCCAGGGCTAGACAGGTGACCTGCAAAAAGGGCTGCATCTAGATCTGGGGTTGGAGAGATTGGCAGGGGTCTCAGACTTCCTCCTGAAGGCAATAGGGACTCAAAGAAGGGCTTCTAAATGGGAGAGCTACTTGGTTGTTCTTGATACTTTGCAGAAAGAATATGATATCAAAGACAGAGACTAGTGAGGATGCTGGTATAATTATCCAGGTGAGAAAAGATAACGCCTGATAAATGTAGGCATGGGAAAGAAGCAAGCTTAAGTAGTTTAGGAAATTAAAATTTTTTTTTAAGAAATAGGACTTGGTAGTTATAACTGACTAATTGAATCAATATTTATTAAGTACCTATTAGCAACGCTTTATAAATTTTAAAAAGTGGTTTGGCAGAACTTCATTAGCAAAAAATGGAGCCCCACACCCAAAGTCAAAACCAAGCCTAAATAGACTAAGTGATTCTCTTCTCTGGGCCTCATTTATTCATCTATAACTTAAAGAGGTTGGACTGGTAGCTTCTGATCCTGACTGCTTTTTTGGGGCTTGGCTTAAGTGTATGAAACCCAGCAATATCCAGGGATAGGCTCCTACTGGCCTGTGAGAGCCAAATATTAACTTTTCAGGAATTTTATAAGATAGTACTGCTGGTAACTTGAAACTAGCTATAGTAGAAATATTTATACCATGGTGTCGGAAGCCAGCCGACCAAGTCAAACCGGGTACCTGAATGGGGGAGCGGGGACTGAGAAAAAAGAGAAGACAGGGTGCAGGAGGGAGAGCAGATCTCACACTGCCTCTCCGAGTTTATTTCTTATCCTCTTTTTATACATAATCTGTTCCTTTTGGTATCCCCAGATAACATACTTAAAGTAACACCCTGAAGATCCAGGTACAATTGACACTTCCTTCGACACTCCCTTCGACACTCCCTGCGACACTCCCTTCGGCTATACTTAATCTTCTTCTTCCTGGAATTCCACAGAACCAGCCTTTTCTTTTTTATGCAAGCAGGCCTCCTGAGACAATACATGCACTCTTTTGAATTTGGGGAGCTTTAGCTCCCTACACCATGGAAATAGGCAAATGCTACAAACTAGGCCTTCCTCCCTCCGCCTCTTGCCACCATCCTCCCCTCCAGAGATGGTTTTCACCAGCACACTAGTGAGACCCCTCTTCAACTGACACACAATACACACCTAGCCAGGTACATTCTCACCCTCTAACACTGTCATTAACAGTTGTGGGAAAAGAATCACAGGTCTCTAGGACCCCACAGGGCCCCAGTCTCAAAGAATCTGCCCCAGCACAGCCAGGCCCACATGCTCAGGCATGCATGGGGTGGGAAGCACAACGTTCCAGGCAGATCAACCATCTGTCTGACAGTAGGTTGGTCGTTCTCAGACACAGGGGAGTGGAGGTTGGTGGTTAACATACTGGAATCTCACTGACCTGAGATGGAGTCTCATAGCCGCAGATCTAGATGCAGCTGTTCTTGCAGGCCACCTGCCTGGCCCTGGAATATACTTCTGGTCTCTGGCCCCACTGGCAGACATTGGTCCAATGCGTCTTGGCTCTAGCCTACTTCTCTAAAGTCATTCCTGCCTCCTTGCCCCGTGGGACAGCTCCACTTAGGTCACTCTTGGCATGTGATGTTAGCGAAGTTCTTCTTGACACTAGAGCTCAGTTTCCTCACCTTTAAAATGGGGACAAGTTCTGAGTTAGCCAAATGGTTTCTAGGATTAGGTAAGAATACCAGCAAAGTGAATGTAAAGCCTCCACACCATGCCTGGTAGAAGTAGGTGTTTAGTAAATGTTAACGAATGCTGTTTTCACACCTCCAGATATATTCTGCCCAGCCAGGGCCCCTTTGGCTCAGTGCTCCCTCTCACTACCTGAATTTTGGCACAGAAGGGCTTAGTGAGTGACGAAGGACAAAGACAAAAACAGGCAGCTTCATTTTCCAACTTTTATGAAAATTAATAACATTAATAGCTCAGAGACATATATATATATATATATATACACACAAGGCTATGTACAGTCATTAAGTTATTAATTAGTCTCCATATAAAATGTTTCTACATTAGTGTTCCAGGCTAGGCCCCATCAGTCCTTGGCATATTCACAGTAGCAGTCCCAGGGCTTGGTCCCATGGGTTGAGAGAGAGGAGGCAGGAAGCTGTAGGAATAGCCCACCCCAAGGTGGGCACAGTTGTTATCATGGGCTGTTTACTTTCAAGTCTTTGGCTCTCTTCTTGGCACCTGGAGATCAGCTGTTCAGTGAGTGGGCAAGCAGGCCTGGATTTCTCATATGGCCTAGTGATGCATGCCCTTTTCATGGGGGCTTCAGGTAACACAGCAGGTCCTAGAGGATGCTGGCCAGCTCTGTAGAGTCTGTGTCAGAGCAGCCTGAGCTGCTGGCCTCTTCCCTACAAGAACCAGAGGAGACGGGTTGGAAGAAGCACCCTTAACCTTACCCTTACCCTGCCCCCACCTGCCTCATTCTTCAAGGATCTTGGCTCTGCAGTCTTAGCCAGCTGTTAGCAAACCACGGGCCACACATAGTTTGCTCACTCCTACTCATCCCAGAAACTGCTGGTTGTTTCATTCACTATTCTTGCTGTCCACAAGACATCACAAGCCCCAGGATTATGCTCTGGCCTGGGCTTGCTGATGGGCTGGCATGACTCATTCCACCTTGCCCTCTGGTCTCCGGAAAGGCAGGGCTCAGGCCACATCTGAGGTCCTGTGTGCCAGTAGAGTCATGAAGAGTGCAGGCTGTGGAGTCAGAATGCCAGGGTTTGAACCCAGCTCTATCCTTTATCAACTGGGCCAGTCACTCTTCCTGGTTAAGCCTGTTTCTTCATCTATAGAGTGGGAATCATAGGACCCTGTGACACTGAGGGTTGTTGGAGGACTACAGGAAATCATGAATGCACATTCTCTAAAACGTAAACTCCTTGAGAACAGAGATTTGTTTCATTCACTAGAGCAATATCTGCCCGACGGTAGGCTTCCAATAAGCATTTGTTGAATGAATAAATGAAAAACCACTTAGGTACAGTGCCTGGCATGCAGCTAAGTGTTCAAGAAATGTCAGCTGCCACTATCATAAATCGGCAAAGGGAAAGGGCAGAGGAGGGGCCATCAAGCGAAGATGTATGGGAGGAAAGTCGACATGGCCACTGGAAGCACAGCTGAGGACTTAGAATGGAGGATGCTCCTTCCCCACCTCCCTGTCCCTTTCCTGCTCTCACCTCAGAGCCTGCAGTGCCTTCTTGTTCTGCCGCCGCTTCTCCTCATCAATGGGGTATAGCTTGAAGAGCAGCAGGCCTAGCAAGATGAGGACTATGGGAGCCATTGTCACCAGCATCTTCAGTGTAAACCTGACACGTGCTGGCTGGGAGCAGCCACGGGTCTGGTACCCAGCAAAGCTGTGAGACCCAATGGGAAAAGGAGTGGTGAGAATGGGATACCTGGGGCCTGTACCTGCCCAGCACTGCCCTCCACCCCCACCCCGCTCACTCAAGACTGAGAGTAGAGATGCCCAGTGAGACTCCAGAGGCAAACTTGGTGAAAAAAACGTAGAAGGAGAAAAAGATGGGCTCGGTTCCATGGGAGTGAGGCTGCTTCAAGAGGAAGTCGTCAATGACGTCGGGCAGCATGGACCTGTACAGAGTGGTGGCAACCATGAGAACCCACCTACCAAACAACCCCAGGTCCCTGATAGCTCATCTGGCACCCTTGTGTCAACGAGAAGAGGTGGCCTTCTGGGAGTCTGTAGCCCCATGGTAAACATCTCAGTGAGGAGATGGCAAATTCATATGAATAAGAAAAGAAGGCTCCTTCCTCCATGATGAAGTAGCCCCACTTTAGGTGCACAGCTGGGCGAGCAGAGTGCAGAAGGGATTTAAGCCCCCATTTCCCACCCCGATTAGATATCCTTACAATTTACAGCCTGTACAACCGTATAGGAAGACCTGCCCCACCTGCCAACCACAGAATGGCCTGCAAGAGAATTCTCCCCAAGGAGCTTCAGAAGTGGGGGGTGAGGAGCTGAGGAACACACCCGGTGTGCCTATATACCTACCAGGGTAGTAAGAAGGCGGCTGCTACACTGATGCCAGCTGCCACGGCTACTACGTATGTGACAATCAGGTTGCTCTCCTTGAGGGCCACCAAGATGAGAAACGGCACTGCTGACTAGAGGAGGGGTGCAGGAAGATGAGACAGCTGGGAGACTTCCTCCAGCAACCCCCAGCCCAGCCCGGGTGCTACACCTTCAGCTCCACTCACTGAGATCCCGATGTATACAGCCGTTTTCTTGCCAAACCGAGTTAGGAACCACTGCCAGAGAGGAATGGTGAATGTGGCTGAGAGCTGTGGATGGACAAAGTGGGTGAGGAGGATGGGTTAGAGCCATTGAACCCCTCCTGCCCTTTCCAAGACCCCAAAGGTCTCCCAGCCCTGCCTGAGAGCAGCCAGAAGATACAATCTGGTCAGTGGGAAATTGACGGGCACCTTTGATGGCTCCTAAGGGGGGCGGAGAGAGGGTCCCAATCTCATCTGCCTTTCCTGAGCACAACTGAGCCAAAGTTCTAAAGTTCCTGGCCTCCGCCCCTTCACTCTTG